TATTGGTGATGGTAATGCTGTTCAAGAAACGGGAAGCAACTCTGGAACACCAGTTTTAAATTTGTCAAGGGTAGGAAGACGAAGACGTGTTAGATTGGTTGTTATTGACTGATATTGTTTTTATTCACGTTTGTAAATAATGAATTCTATATGGATTAGTAACTATTGTAAGTGATATATTATTTATTTATAATTGTTAGTGATAAACATTTATTTTATTTTAAATGATCATAAAATACCCTTTTTACGTTTTGATCACTCCTTTCTTTTTTAATGATGTTAACATAAATATAACTACAGTACTGGACAGGTAACAGGTAAAATATTTTTCAATGACTATGGAAATATTATGTTAACTATATCAAAGTGAGGAGAATGAAAACTCATTTCAAATACAATGAAATACCCAAATAAGGAAAAACTTCCAAATGAACGATGTTAGTTCAATACGTGTCCACTGTAAACATCTTGAAACAAGATTCACAAAAAAGAAATCGGTAACAAATGAGGAAATATTACATCTAGAAATTCACACACAGAATGAATGATAACAGAGAAAATATCCAACAAAATATTTCAAGAAATGCTAAAATTGGAAATTAAAATTGTTAATCTGTTAGAGAAGAAAACGAGGTCTGTTCAAAAAATAGGTTCATTTTCATTTAATTTTTTAAAAAAAACTTCAATTTCTATTTTGTCCCCTTCAAAGTAGTCTCTCTCAGATATAATACACTTGTGCTCACGTTTTTACCAATCTTCGAAACAGTTCTGATATGCACTTTTTGGTATGTCCTTGAGCTCTCTCAGTGACTCAAGTTTTATCTCCTCAATTGTTGCGAAACACCGTCCTATCATGGGTCTCTTTAATCTTGGGAACAAGAAAAAGTCGCAGGGGACCAAATCTGGTGAATATGAACAAGCAATGATGAGTGAGCAGGTGCACTATCTTGATGCGAAAGCCATGAATTGTTTTTCCACAATAACGGATGTTTCCTTCGTATTGCTTCTCACAAGCAGCACATAGCTTCAAGATAATACTCCTTACTGATTATACAACCATGTGGCAAGTACTCCTGATGCACTACGCCACGGTAATTGAAGAAAACACTGAGCAAAACCTTGACATTTGATCGAACTTGACGTGCTTTTTTTATTCTTGCCTCTCCTGGCCTTTCCATTTGGACGATTGAACTTTGGTTTCAATGTTATAAACATATATTCATGATTCGTCACCAGTTATGACCCTTGTAGGCAAATTTGTATCGCCGTTGACATCATTCAACAATTCCAGAGCGATGCGTATGCTACGGTTTTTTTTGGTCAAAATTCAGCAATTTTGGAATTAACTTTGCTGTCACACGCTTCAGGCCCAAAATTTCCGAAAAGATTACATGTCAACCGATATGTCGACAACCTCAGCAACTCCTCTAATAGTGATTCGAGGATTCTCTATGAGAATTTTCTCCACTTTCTCAACATTTTCATTGGTTGTTGTGTTGGGGCTTCCAGGGCGAGCGTCATCATTCACATCTTCTCGACCTGTTGTGAAAAGCTTATACCACTTTCTAACTTTTATGCCTCTCAACAACAATCTAAACAGCTGAAACTGTGAATATATTCTCAAAAGGAGAGTATCAATATAAAAAAGTTCAAAAATATTTAATTGAATGTACGCATCCCGCGAAATTTGAACATTCACATTATTTTTTTAAGAGACGTGAATGAATCTTAGAACATTTTTAAATAATTTCACAGGCGTGGAGCTAAGAAAATATGTAACAGAAATCAGTGATGAAACTATCATGAAAGGTAGTTCTAATGAGAAGCAGTAGATTCGTGCAAATGTTCGGGGAAAAGAACTAGATCTGTCTGATGCCAGCACAAGAAAAAACGCCATTGTAATATATTTGAGAGAAAAATAACGAAACAAACTCTCTTTGTAAATGAAGGCGAAAATTGTTTCCTTCTCCTAAGGTACCCAAATTAAATCCTCAGTACAAAATAGCGAAAAAGTAAAAAAGTTTTAAAAACTGATTTATCATTACAAAAATATGTAGAAATATAGTTTTGGTGTCAAACCAAATAAGCCTAATGGGTGGAATCGGAACCTCTAACGCAAAATAAATTTCTTGAAAAACACGTCACACCAGAACACAAATATCATTTCCTAAAGATGCTAACTTGGTTTGGATACAGTGTGTTGAGATGCCAATGCACATCTCCTTTGAAAAAAGATAGTGTACAGTGCGGACGTATGACGTATACAGGGCTTTTCGTGATGAGCGTTAATTAGCCGTTTCTGACAAACTATTTAACGGATCAACCTGAAAATTCCACAGTACGCATAAGTCGATATGACCTACACGCCTAAAATATTTTAGACGAAGCGGCGTTGTCGCTTCTACTATAAAGTAGGGGCTTCTTTGATTTTTCAAATGGAACACCCCGTATATAATATCATATTATGATTCATTATCACTTTCTCAACAAATTCATTCCTATACCTATCTATTACCGTTTAGAAGATATAAATTAATTTCCAAACATGAACTTTTATAAATGCTGATAATCTTGAACTCTCTTGCACTAAAACGATCAAATTTCAAATGGAGTGGAGTGATACTATGAGGATCTTCACTCCGATTCATATTTTCATTTGCCTCATACAGGGTCTTCAAAAAATGCAGATACTTTGATCTCATGAAAAAATGAGTGGAACTCAATTTTTTCAAATGGAACACCCTGTATATTTCAACATTTTTGAGGTCTACATCCAATTTTAGATTTACTTTGTTGAGATAATACTATTTCTATTTTGAACCGTTTTCGAGATAGTTTGCCAAAAACGGCTAATTAACGCTCATTATGAAAAACCCTGTATATCTCTCTCCCCAACTCTTCTTTCGTACGGGGCAAGATATCTGAGTCGGATAAAATTATTGCAAAAAGGGATCATTTTTAATACGTTTTGACAGAAAAGTAGGTTGTTCTGACGCCAAGAGAGCGAGAGCTATCAACTTTTTTTATATGTTAAGAGGGGTCTTTTAACACTTCCAATGAAATTTATTTCAATTCTATGTGTATACAACTACCTTCACTTTTTTGAATTTCGAATAACAACTACAGTAACCAATGCCAATATTACAAATAAATAAAGAGTTAGCCACATAAAGCACTGCTTTGTATAGTGGTTGAAAGAAAAGAGAGAAAAAAAAAGGAAAAGGATAAAAGAAAAGAATGAAAGTTATCACTTTATATACATCAATGATATCAATATCAATGCATATCAGTCGTTTACTCATGTGATCATAACTAACAATGTTTATGTACCGACAATTATAGAACGGGATTAAAAAAATCTCAGATTTGAACATAAACCGGCTTCTATCATTCAGCAGTACTCCACAATTGTGATATTTTTGATATCATTCGATGAGTCATAGTTAGTCTTAATAGTAATGTAGTTGCAGATAAAAAACGTAAATAAGAAAAACAGTGAAGGAAGAAAGGAAAGAAAGGATGAAGAAGGTCTACGAACTAGAGTTGATTCAAATAATTCAAGGTAGCTTCTTAGAAAAACACTTTTTTTCATTAATTTTTTGAATTATTTTTTTTTTGTTTTTTCCTCTAAAGATCTGGCGCGAATCATTATTGAACATTTAAATAAAATGAAGCGAATTCTCAGTATATATAGTGAAAGCTGTCGAGCTGAAGCAGTTCAAAAATCTGTTTAAAATCTGTTTTTCCGTTAATCAGCTGCCGCCCCCATACGAACGACAACTCTCAGAAGTTGAGAAACTTGTGCGAGCTAAGGACTAACGAGGTCTTACCTTTTAACGTGTGATTCCTAACACGGTTGCAGAATTATTCCAGCTTCAACCAGATAAATTCTCGAGAAAAATATCTGGTCGAGGCGGGAATCGAACACACGACCTTCCGATCGTGAGTCGGACGCACTACCACCGCGGCCAATTCCACAACAATTCCACAGTACTAAGATACTATACACTGGTGTAGCGATTCATTCTTGTAGAATCTTTCAACCAATATGACTTACTCCATTTTATTACATTACATTAAATTAGGAGGTAAATAAGGAGATGTAGTATTATTTCATCCTTAACCCTATAAGGATCTGTAATTATTAAAGGTGTCAATTTGTGTGCTTGTGAACAAGATTGATTTTTATGTGAATGTTAGAATGGGAATATTTTATTACGGAGAGCGAACACGTTTGCTTACTAGTCTATTGGATAGAAATCAATTTATTTCACAATTTATGTTCATCTGCGGATCCTCTCTTGCGACATTAGGTGCGTTTCGTTCGCATTTACTCTATTCTAGATTTGTTCGCCCTGTTTGAAGTTATTCGCTTTCTCTGCTAGATCAAAATATGTTGAGAAAAACCGGTGAATAACTTTTGGCATGAATGACTCAATCTGGAATTCCCTGTTTGTTACTCTGAGGGAATACCTCACATTAGTGACAGAACAAAACGCAATATCATATGTTGGTTGGCCAACATAGATCGGCCAATAGTGAGACAGGAATTACGTTTCATTTCTTGAGAAGTCATAACTTTTAGTTCTCATTTTGATTTTGATTAACGAACTTAAATTACATTTTATCAGTATTGAAATGCAAATTTTTCCTTTGCGTCTATTGTTAGTATCTTCATGGTTTATTTTGTTTTTTGGACGTTCGTTAAATTTTCGTGCTACATAATTTCTATCTCAGTCATTGAATTCACTACTTTCTATTGAATCATAAATTACCCGTAAAGAAGGAGTCTTAGTAAATAGAGGCAATGACATCTGCTCTCACGGAGGCGCCATCTATGGGAAGTATAGACTCATTTCACGAATATATCAAAGAGGGAGCCCTCGTTTACTTTTGATATTAATCGGAAGATACACTCTGTATGTTTATTCACATAACAAACTGGTAACAACAGGAAAGGCAAAGTCAAGTGGAAGAAAGGATCTACCAATAAAAAGATACTCATACATGATCAATATAATATTGCACTTTCAAAAACAATTCAGTAACTGAATCAACTATAATTATTGAATATTTACAATATTTACAGTTCATTAATGGGTCTAATGACATTACTGTGGATTATTGACATTCTCTGAAGTGAGCGCTAACGAAGTTAAAGCACTGCGCCTACCAGGAGTAACTCCAAGATTTTCCCAGTTTATCCATGATAATCGAGCGGTCAAATCTGAAATGAGACAATAATAATCAAACACAAAAAAGGCACTATATCTTTTGAAACGGTTTGAAAACATTATTTGTAACACATAAATGAGTTTTTAAAACATATATATTTATTATTTTTTCAATATTGATTATTTGTAGAAAATCCGCTACGGTAGCGGAATTCCGCTACGGTTGACAACACTGAACTTACCACTCGTGTTCCAGTTTGCTCGATCGGCTTTGATCTCTCCTCTCAGGCATTTCTCCACATAGGTCAGGGGGTCGCAGTCAGCGGTTAGAACTTCTCGAAGCAGAGCGATGTAAGCGATCGCTAATCGAAGGGTATCAATTTTGCTCAGCCTTTTTTCGTAGGGGAAAGTGGGCACGTGCATTCGAAGCTCGTCGAATGCAGAGTTTATACTGCTGCAAACCAAAATTAATAAGGACATTTTGAGATGAGTTGCACTTCTATACCGTGCAGGTGTTTTTATTGAATTATACGTTTATTACATAACAATGTAGGCAACTAAAAAAGCAGTCGTTGATTAGAAGCGCCTTTAATATTGGTCATATAATTGGTCTTTATTAAAAAAAAGGAATGGTCAAACCGTTACAACCCATAAAGGACAGAAATGGAATGAAAACATTATGTTTACGCGTAGAATGGAGTAGTCCAGAGGGGAAAAACAAATGCACAGTCATTAAACAATAATTATTTTAGAAGTAAATATACTGTCACCCTTGTGGTTAATTTTTCAAGAACTCTATTTTCATTTGACGATGTGATGGTTCCATATCTTTATATTGAATTTCGGAGCAATATTGCGATGAATACGTTTTTCATTTGGATCTGAACTGTTTCGATTAAACTAAAGACAGGATACCCACTTAGATAGACTCAAAACTGGCTGACTTTGAAGTCATTCTTCGAAAATTATATAATTTGTGTCAGAGCTATTTTGCGGGTTTTGTCGCCGAAGTCGGCAATTTTTATGCTAGACGTTTCGTCCACTACTGCGGTAGAACTTATTAAAGGTGATGAGATAACGGTCGTGATGCTCGAGTTGTTGTTCTCAACGCAGACACTACATTGTTGGTATTTGACGCCGGTTTTATATTATTATTATAGGTGAGCATGGCTGGATTTCTCTTAATTAGATTATCTGACCTTGTATGTTCACAATTAAGTTTAGGTACATTGCCTTTTCTTTTCTAGTAAATTTATCTATATTTTTGAATTTCTATTGCCTCTCTATATGCTTTTGGATAGCAATTTTGAGTTTCTTCGAATATCACTATATCTTAGAATTAGGTCTGTTTCTGTTAAAAATCTTTTTTTTCCGTTAACCAGCTGTTGCCCCTTAAGAACAATAACTCGAAGTCGAAACTTGTGCGAGTTAAGGACTAATGAGGTCTTACCTTCTAACGGGTACCTAGTTGATTCTAGGCAACGATTTCTCTTGTGTTCAGAGACACTATACTCCTTTTCGTGGTTCCAATGTAGACTGACCCGCAACTTCAAGGAATCCGGTATACCCCAGGTGTAGCTGACCTTGTCGTACTTTCTCTGATAGTTTTCGTTGGCCCAAATATTGGTTTCACGTAGTGTTTCTCAAAGGATCTTGCAACCCGGTCTGTAACATTTTTACATCGGGAAGAAAAGTTTTTTCCATGACTAGCCTAGCTGGAGTTACTTTGGTGGTCTCCCTCGTGGGTCGTATGACCCGGCAGAATTCTCCTTTGCTGCACCCATTTCCTTTCAAGGCATGGACTGCCTATTGCGATACCATCCGTTTGTTCAGCTGTATCAGAACATGCTCTTAAAAAAGGAGGCACTCATTCAAAGATACAGTAGTACTCGATAAAACTTAAAAATACTACCCAAGAGTATATAGAGAGGCAAAAAACACCTTCAAGCTCTGGTGCAGGCGTTTTCAGTCGCAGATCCAGGACAGAGATATCAACCTGCCTAGGAACCTACCTATGCGACTGTATTTCAAGCGGAATTTTACGCTATTGAAATGTGTGCGGACAGATGGGAAGAATCCAACCTCGTACACAAGTCAATAAAAATATTCTCGGACAGTCAAGCGGTGTTGGAAGCTCTTGGCTCCTACCGAGCAACGTTTCAATTGGTAGCAAATTGCCAAAAACGACTCTCCTCGATAGGAAGACTTAACAGATTGTCTCTGGTCTGGATTCCTGGCCGTGCTGGTCCGGAAGGCAATAAGGCTGCTGACTCCATTGCAAAGGAGGGTGCTGCAAAGCAGCTTCAGCGGACCAGAACCTGTCATTGGCGTCGCTTTAGGCTTTGCCAAACAAACATTGTACACCTGGATGGCAAGAAGATTGATGAACTTCTGACAGAGTCTTCCAGGATTGGCCCACTCCAAGGCGTTCATTCACCCTTCGAAGCTTGATACCAAACAGTGGTTGGACTATAGTAGAGATGATCTACGATGTCTAACGGGCCTTCTCACAGGTCACTGTCGTCTAAATCATCATATGCAGAGACATGGACTGTCGAAAGATAGTGTGTGTCGCCCCTGTTTGGAAAATGATGAAACAGCAGAGCACATATTTTGTGCCTGCCCCGTTGTAGACCGAATCAGGCTTTCAGAATTTGCCAGAGCCGTAACCCTTCTATCTATCCTGAAAGACCACTCACTATACGAACTAATCCCACAATAAATCTTTGTGGGTTGCGGTGGAGGGTCCAATAGACCCACTCACTTTGGACCTAATGTAACCTAACCTATATAGAGAGGCAATAGAAATTCAAAACCATAGGGATAATTTCAATAGAAAAGAAGAGACAATGAACATTATAAAATCTGGCTACCAATCTATAAGTGTACACAAACAAGGTCCAATTAAGAGAAACCGAGCCACGCCCACCTATAATAATATGAAACCGGAGTCAAATACCAGCATTGTAATATCTGTGTTGTGAAGAACAGAAACAACAACTCGAGCACCAACTCAAGCATTATGACCGTTACCTCATCGTCTTTGATAATGTCTACCGCAGTAGTAGACGAAATGCCAGGTATGAAAACCTGCAGACCACGGCCAAAAAATTCTGAAAATATCTTTGGCACAGGTATCTTCAGCAGTGAAAGTTTATATTCTTTGAATATATATTTCATTTCATTTTTCGTTCTCACTCCTGAATCTTCATTTTCATAGTCTTTAACATTTGTCCATTATAATAATTATGAAATTTTCACAATACATTTTATTCAAGACGCATTTTGCTACACGGTAGTTTAATCACTAAAACTGGTATACCAAACTATTTTACAATACCTTTTATATATCAGTAGGTAATGACAATACAAAACAATACAAAACAAATGAATAAATCTGGTAAATCAGGTAGATTTTGGAAAAACAATCACAATACAATATTACTTCTAGGAAACCAGGTAAAATATTATGTCAAAACTCAGTTAGATAAATGATCTGGCAAATCTCCAAATCTACAGTTAATAGATTTTGAAAGCACAATTAATAAAATATCACTTCTAGGAAAACAGTTAATTTGTAAATTTGATAATTATTGACATTTCATGAAATCAAGTATCTATGATATTTCAAATGAAGGGCATGCTCCCTCTCTTTTTCTGTTCAGTGTTTTTTTTTAATTATTTCCAAAGCACACTCTCCTTCAAACAAGAGTGTAGAAAGAAAAAATCGAATAGGAACGTTGTAAAACTTTCGTAAACATTTTCAATCAATTAATATATATTTATATGGTTGTAAATGATGCAATACAATAAAATAATCATATTATTATGAGAGACGAAAACACCTCGCTGATTTATTATGATTGGTCAAATAAAATACTTTATTTTTCATCTTTGTTCAATATGCTGAAATGTTTTAGGTTGAAATGAGAAATAACATATCGTACCCCTACAGAAAACCTAAATGATGAATTTTTGAAAAAATTATTTCACGTCAGTACAAAAAATGTAACCCAATTAACCAGGCAACCAAAACTGCTACCGGAATAGAATGAAAAACATCCAGAAAGGACTGTCTGAAAATCCACTTTTGCGAGGGAGAGGACTTTTAGCTGCTGATAATATGTATCTATCTGTGGTAGAAATGTGGATTAGTTGAAATTTTGACTAATGACATCACAGTTTAAGTGATGTGCAGATGTGCAGATGTGTGGTGCAGATGTGTGGTTTAATATATTACTAGTTCGCATTTAAACCTGCTACAGTTTTCGATACAATTCCGTCTAGAAAGGAAAAGTAATTCAGAAAAACTTAGTACTCTGATAATCAACCTTCTCTCTCACATAACGGTTGTCGAAGATACAGTGAGATATTACCAGTGATGAATAATAAAAACAAACGATAATATTCAGTCTAGAATCATTCGAGACGTGTTGGTCGGTGCTCCAAGCCCTAGTCTGAACGATCGATTTTCACTTGCTATCGTCCAACCCGTGTTAGGAATCACACGTCACAGGTAAGACCTCGTTAATCCTTATCTCGCACAAGTTTAGACTTCTGAGGGTTGTCGTTCGTAGGATTACGACAGCTAGTTAACGGAAAAACAGATTTTAAACAGATTAACATAAATCGTTTGAATTTGATTAGCAACGTATCTTGGTGAATGTTAGAGATTCACATTTTCATTGTTTCAACGAAGGTGTTAACATATGAGAAGAGGAATGGGAAGTCGTTCAAGAAAGCAAATTATATTAAAAAAAATTAAGTACTTCCAGTCTTTCAACCGCTATAAGGAAAAATCTCAACAAGCCAATTAAAATAAAGTTAATTATCTAAAGTAACAATTCGTATAGATAAGTCTTCCCTTCCCTACACATTGGGTTTATGGACTGACACCTATCAGAAAACAGCTACCCCCCTGGATAATACCACGAAGGGCGTAAGTGTCCCACATCAACACGAAGTCGATGATTTCCTATAAATAAAAATCAAATCATTTCAGAGTATCATACCTCGAACAAAACTGAGGCGAAAGACAAGCAACATATCTGCCATCGCCTCATCTGCATGTAGGCTAACTGCTTATCTGAATGACTTTAGATAATTTGATTCAAAGCCAGTCTTCAAGTATGCCCACTTACTATTGGCAAAATAAAGTAATCAGTCAAGGAAATACCTCAGATCATACACAGGAAGCTATCCGAAGATGATGTATGAAAGCCAGAACGGGTTCACCAATGGGATGCTGTGCCCGGAACCGATGTTTCCAGCTGGGGTTGAATTTCTCAAGCAGACGAGGGATTGCCAACCGGATCGTCACTTTCACCGGTAAAAGCCAACATATACAGGGAATAGTTTGGAATGTTGGCACGTTAAAAAACTCACAAAACCCCCGATCTGGTTAAGATACTTTGATGCAACCTTCGTAGTCTGGGATCATGGTGACACGGAACTGGAAACATTTTGACAAGAAACTAGGCCATGACTTCAAAAATTGAATTTACCAGATACCATGTGGTTATGGTCCTACATCGGTAAAACCAAAAGACCGTTGGAAGTTCGCATTGGCGAGCACAAGAAAAATCCCCGGCGAGAAGAAGTTATCAAATCGGTAATTAAGATATATGTTTGAACCCACCAACATAATATTAAGTGGTCCGACGAAGCTGAAATCATCCACAGGAAGGATCACTTGTTCAAAAGCAAGTACATATTCAAGAAAGACGCATTCAGGCAGACTAGTGTGGAGTTTCGCAACGTATTGAAACCCCTGATCGAGGGATGAAAGGTCTACGTTGACGTTATTTCCCGAAAACTTTTATGGATAGTCAACGTAGTGAAGTATCTTAATTGGATACTTTTTTTGTCCTTTTTTCATCATCATTCCTCTGTAATGTTTTTTTCAATTATTATTATTGTTTGCATATAATTTTTAACGTATTGTGAAACCCATTGATTAATTATTTTCCATTTCAGATTACAATACTGTGTTTTTTCGACAAATTTAGCATCTCCTGTTATTGAGATATTGGATAATATTGGGGCTGGTCTGTTATTTTTTATTAGTAGCTCAGATCATACTGATAAAAATCTAATTATTTTCTTATTTTTTGAAAAGTGATATTTTAGGTACGATTTATGCGGAAACAACATTTGCTCTGATTGGAATTGAAGAAATGGAAGAGAAAATAAGTTTTACTTCACTTAATTTTTCATTTCTCTTAGTTTTTTGGAATGATCGTGCAATACATTTCTTGCATTCAAGTTTGTGATTTCAGTAATGCGTACATTCTTCTACTAATAATAAAAATAAAACGACCTACACGATCAACAACACTATAGTTTCTAGACTGTGGCGAGCACAAAAAACAAACGAGCAATCACAAATCAAGACAAGTGTACCCGGTGGGTCCAATAGCAGACCTCAGCATTCTTTTCCGTTCCCTGATGTTAGCAGCATGTCTCTGCACTCTGTAAGGAGATGATCCGTAGTAATCTGCCGAACTTGATAGATTTCCTCCGCACTGGCTGTCTGAAACAAATGGAAATACTTTTTTAAACGGTTTCATTCAGCTTGCCCTGTTTGTTTGTATATTTATTTATTTGGATTAAATTTAGTATTTCAAGTTTGATCCCCTTTCTGTTGACAGATTGATATGATATGTGGTTTTGATAATTATATACAATTTAATAAATTCTGTATCATTGTAAATCTCTCAGATGGTATGCAGTTGCATCATGGATTTTCACAGGGCTCAGTTTTGGGGCCTCTACTCTTATTGATCTACATAAATGACTTGAAAGTCAATGTAGCTGGCTCAAAACTCATACTATTTGCTGATGACACCACTCATCATATCACCCATCAGAACCAATTCAAAAAATTGTGGCTGAGGGACAGAATCAGATGAAAGAATGGTTCTTAGCAAACAAACTTTCTCTTAACTAAACCAAGACCAAAAATATCAATTTTTTTCTTAGACCTCTGAATCCAAATCTGCTAAGAAGTGATGAGGTGAATCTTCTTGGAATAATTTTATTAATAAAGGCCTAACATGGAAAAAATGTAATTTAACTATCGTCTAAGCTCTTGAAAATTATATATATGATAAGATAACTTGTTAAGACTGTATCTAGAGAAACTATAATGTCAACTCATTATGGTTATTTTTATTCAAACATGACAAATGCTGTGGTGAGTTGGTGTCACTCTTCTTCCCATTCGGAAAAAAAAAATTAGGCTACAAAGGAGATGCATCCGTATTGTTATGAATCTTAAATATCGCCAGTGCTGCAGACATTGTTTTGTTGAGCATAAAACACTAACGTTTCTTTGCGCATATATACTGAACTGTATTGAATCTGTCTATAATAGTAAACAAGAATTTTCAACACATAGCCAACTTCTTTACTATGAAACGCCTCATAACCAGGACATTGTGCCTGAATATCACAGCATAGAACCAGAAAAGGAACTGACTACTAGGGTGTACATTTTTTCAATTGCTTGCCAGTTACCATAAGACTCCTTGAGGAGAGATTATTTAAAAAAAACAAACATTATTTGGTAAAAAATGGCTTTTATTCAATTCAGGAATTCTTGGATACCACGTTGATCTAATATGATTGTTCAAATTATATTTAACTTAATCAACAAATCGTAATTTTATGAATGTATGATAAATATATATTAGTGTGAGCATTGCGTCGCAGTATCTTCCACTAGTTTAGCATAATCAGGTTTGTAGTTGGAAATTGCCAACCTTAAACAATCCAGTGTATGAGCGTCTCTTAAGCGACAACGGTGTTTATTTTTTGTTTGTAGGAAAATGCTAACTCACATACATTTGTTGACGGGACGGATTGACACACGCCCCTCCCACGCATTCCACACGCTTCCCTCTTATTGGACATCGCGTGCCGAAAACAAAAGACTATACTTCGTAGAATAGAGAATAAATACCGTGACGGAACAGCGATTGAAAAATGATACAAGATGATGCTGTAAGAGTTGGTAATTACGTTGCGCAGGCTGGTCTATTTATTTATATATTTTTTGCCTTGCCACGATCGACTGGACTAATAGTCGCGATCGACCGGTTGGCCACCCCTGCTCTTGGCACTACTCTATCTGAACGTGTCACCCTGTTGTGTGCCCTTTTATACGGTCCGAACGCCTCAATACAGGTACTTCTGTTGCTTTAGGTAAATTTGCCTGTATTTGGATTACATCAGGTACTATTCTTTGTGTTAAATCTTCTCTAGGTTTATNTTTCAGTGGCGCATTTGCTTTTTCAGCTGCAGAAAAACCCGGAAAAACCTCCAGCACCACATCTGCCAATGTCCTCTCTTTCATAGAATAAATATATTATTTTTCTGGTATACAATACGAACTATCATAATTAGTAAATATATTTATGATAATTGGTGCAGATCGTTAATCCCATGCGAATCTAATGCATGCTTCTTTCATATGATTAAAGAGTCTTCATGAGACTAACTCAACATGGTTCTTGAACTCAAACGTTGGATTGGAAACGTTTTTTGAAGTAGATGTGAAGTCAAGTCTTCATCAACCAGACCAATTGGTGATGTGATAGCCAGTCTTGAACTTTTCTTGTAACTATAACCCAACAAAAGATCTAACTGAGGAAGAAAATTAAATTATGAATATTCGACAAAAGAGTCAAAATCGCAGAATGACAACTAACTAGCCAATATCTGTTATTAGAGACTCCACCCAAATATGTAGACTAGAAATCTCACTTCGAGTTTGTCGAAATACTTCGCACAGTCTGGACAAAATTCGAGAATGTAGGTCTTTATACTAAATGATCAACGTCAAGATTGAAATGAAGTATAATTGATGGTTTGAATACATTGACCAGTTTCTTAATGAAAATTAATAACGCTATACATGATAATTATTGAGTAGTTTTCACAAATCCTTTTTTTATTCTAGATGACGATGTCTCATAAAATTTTCTGTATAGTTTGGTAGTTTACGAGACACAACGCGATACAACCGTTTGCACCCATTTTTTTCCAAGATGGCGGCCGGGACAAGGATTGCGACTCCACAAATTTGAACTTCAGCTTATACTAACTCTGGTGGCCGAATGCTTTACAGAAAACTGCCCAGGCGCAGCTCTATGGCTTACAGAGTCAGGCTTGTCTGGTCATCAGTGATGCCATCAATACCATTCTGTCAGCGGCCATGGAGATCCTTCTAGATGTACCTTCTCTCTATATTTTTCTGAAGAAAGGCGATAGATGGACTGCAAATAGACGTGTGTACATTGCCAATTGCACAAATCAATTTAATGCAGAGTGCAACAGACTATTGGTTGACACTGGAAGTCACAGCATTCTGGAAATGACCCCTGAGAAGGAAATATCAAGAGCATATAGTTGTTGGTTCACAGATGGATTAAAAACACCTTCCGTTCTGGTGCAGGTGTTTTCTGTCGCAGACCCAGGACAGAGATATCAACCTGCCTAAGAACCTATGCGACTGTATTTCAAGCGGAAATTTACGCTATTGAATTGTGTGCGGAGAGAATGGAAGAATCCAACCTCATAGGCAAGTCAACAAAATTATTCTCGGACAGTCAAACAGCGTTGGATGCTCTTGGTTCCTATCGAGCAACGTCTGAATTGGTAACAAATTGCCAAAAACCATTTTCCTCGATAGGAAAACTTATCATATGATCTCTGGTCTGGATTCCTGGCCATACTGGCCTGGAAGGCAATGAGGCTACTGACTCCCTTCTGACAGAATCTTTTGAGATTGGCTCATTCCAATACGTTTATTTACTCTTCGAAGCTCAATACAAACAGTTGTTAGACTACAGTAGGGATGAACTACGATGTCTAACAGGCCTTCTTACAGGTTACAGTCATTTGAATCATGTTATGCAGAGACTCCGACTGTCGGAAGACGGTGTGTGTCGCCTCTGTTTGGAAAATGATGAAACAGCAGAGCACATACTTTGTGCCTGCCTCGTTGGGGACCGAATCAGGTTTACAGAGTTCGGCAAAGCCGTACTCTTACCATCTGACCTGAAAGACCACTCACCATACAAACTAATCGGCTTCGTTAAGAAGCTGGGTTTATTTGGTTGAGTGAATAGGTGTGAGCCACAATAAACCTTGCGGGTTGCGGTGGGGTGCCGAATAGACCCACACACTTTGTACCTAACCTATACTAACCCCCTTCACACATTCAAAAAATAAAATTGCGTCCTCTGAAAAACGCAACCCTAAATGTAAATTTTCAATGTATTAAGAACCATTTTCCCAATTGAAATCTGGTCAATTATGAAAGAAATGTATTTACCTGCATTATGATGTATACTAGACAAATAAGGGTGCTGAATTCCAGTAGTAGGTGGTGCTCTGGAGGCGAAAGCACAACTTGGAAGGTCCGAAACTTCATCTTCAGAGATGTCTCCTGCACTATATCCAAATTGTAAGCTTAAATAGAAGGAAGGAAAATGCGTTACATATAGGGAAAACATTCAACATGAGGTTGTGCATTAATTATAACAAAACATGTGCATGGGTATTAACTTGGCATTCAATCATGCGTTCAAAGGCAAACTTTGATTTTTGTTTCAGATATTAAATACCAGATATACAATTGGTGTTGAAAAGTTTTTTGACTAAAAAATTTCAGAAAAAATTGAATAGAAGATTAAGAAGGTAGCACATATCGAAACAGAATTATGAGAACTTCTTGTGTATACCTCACCGAGCTGTTAATTCATCAAGAGAATGGAATCATCCAAAGTTAGCTAGCATAAATAATGCTATAATCCAAAATTTAAATCATGATCAAACAAAGGGCCCTTTTTAGTTTCAATAATGGTGTTAATAGTGGTGAAAAGATGCAGGTTCGATCCTTTCCTCGACGATATATTTTTCTCGGGAAAATGTATCGAGTTGAAATTGAAATGATCCTGCAACACAATACTGCTGACGAACTGTGAATAGCCAAGGTCATAGGCAGCTATGGTTCATATATAGGATAGAGAAAATACTTTTTGTCTGATTTTTATAAAGTTTTTTATTTGTTACGACCAGTTTCGGTTTATCAAACCATTCTCAAGTAAACTCTTGATGAACCGAAAATAAATAACGAACGAAAAATACTAGTATTATTGTGAAAAAAGAGACGAGCGCTTGATATACAAAAAAAAATGGCACAAAGCGCCCAGGCTTTTTCCACAATAATACTAGTATTTTTCGTTCGTTATTGTTTTACGCTTATTTAAAAAACTATTTTCAACTTTTTAGTTCGATGTTCTTTTAATTTTTTAGATTCGTATGCTATAAAAACGTGTTTTTTAGTCTTTTTAAACTATATTTATTTTATGTAAAGTTTGGGATCAATCAGCCGTGTATTGTGTAGAAAAATGACCATTGATATTTTCCGATTCCGGAGAGGGAGCCTGAAAATCAGCTACCAAGCCCAAGGCAGCAGGGGCGTAAAGGAGGGTTACAAATAAGGCAGAAGGCGCGTGTTGATGAAAAAAATACTTTTTTCAAATGAAGAAATACATGTAAAGTGAGTTCGAATTATATTAAAGAGGTTACGCACAGCGCCATCTGCCCGCAAATAGATCAAGCAATAATGTCGATAATTCTGTGAAATACAGATCCCGAGCTTGAGAGTTACAAACAAACATACATACAGACATACATACAGGTGAAGCTAATATAAAGCGTGTAATAAAATAATAAAAAGAACTTGTTGCATTCGAAATAGAGAAAGATGAAAACGTTGTGGGGCCGGTGAAACAGTGTTTTTGATATATATTGCTGAAAAGGCGAAGAAAGTCAAGTCAAAGTCAAAAGTCAAGTTGTGGCAATAATTGTTCTACATACTGATCAGATGCAAGATGGAGGTGACGGGACATAGATAATGACAGTTCGTTAATAGTTTTGTTAGATTTATTGATACGGAAGCTGAAAAAGATCGCACATTCTGCATCACTAGCCAATATTTTGATGTGAATGTTTTGGAATCCATTTTGAAGTTCATTGCGTCCTGAGAATATTCACATAACTAGATTTTCACAAGTTATTGTCTCACTTTTGTGTATGTTTTGCTATATATTTGACCTTATTTAAGCTAAATAGATTTTTAATATTCACTTTGGAATTTATAACCTTTGTTTTTATCTTAGTTTCACAAAGATTCACGAACTACTCACTTACCAATGTATACTATATAGGTAGTGGGTTCGATTCCCACCTCTCCAGATATTTTTCTGGAGAGAATTTATCTGGCTGAAGCTGGGATGATTCTGCAACCGTGTTAGGACTCACACGTTTAAAGGTAAGACCTCGTTAATCCTTAGTTCGCACAAGTTCTCATCTTTTGAGAGTTGTCGTTCGTATGGGGGCGAGGGCTGATTAACGGAAAAACAGATTTTTAACAGATTTTAAAACAGATTATTGTATAGAAAATGTTCTGTTCAACCTGTGGGAATCAATTAACGGCCAACGAAAAGTGGGTGCTGATTTAGTGACTGGTAAAAGATCAGTGGGTGGTAAGCCATCGATGATTGCCCAAAAATACTGATCTCTCCTGAAAATATTCCCTTTTCAATTCCCTTGTTTCATGAAAAGTTCAACTAAAAACAAAACTCAACACACGTTTGTTGAAAAGGTGTGCTGAAGTTGCGATTCTCGGAAAGTTACTTCATGATGTTTCGATTGCTAGTTCCACAATCATCTTCGGGTGATGACTGGACTATTTATGTCATTCGAGTGCTTTCACCTATCACCTCTTTCTTTCGATTCAAGTTTTATTGCTCATTTATTATTGATTGTTTAGCTATTCATTCTAATTTTATTTGTACTTTTATAGATTTCCAATCATTTTAGAATCATATTAGACATTGGAAGTCCAAACTAATAAAATTTGTTTTATATTTCACCGACAATTTGGTTCAGCTTGTACCTAAACGATGAGTTAGATGGCTACCATCAGCAAAGACGTTGATAGGGTTTTTGCCGTTTAGTTATAACGATAGGAATGGGATATATTAGATCAAAGTTATTTTAAATGTTAAAAATGCATTAACCTATTTTCAGTTTCCGTGAGATTGTACAAAACAAGGAAATGGAAGGTTGCAACCTATATTATACCGGTCACCATTACATTGTTAAAGTTGCTTGTTTTTTCATGTTTTAATGAATGAAAAACTGTTTTATTCATGCAAAAATAAACAGCCACATAATATTATCAAAAAGTACTCAAGTCAACCATAATGAAAAAAAAAAAATCCTTGAAAATGCTTTTCAATACATGCAACACCAATTTCTGACACGTACGGTTACTGTTCAAAAAATGAGGTGAATTTTCATTTTTCTCAAAAAATATTTATTCATTCATCAATTTCTATTTTGTTCTGATATGAGTTTTTTGGTAAGTCCTTGAATTCTCTCAACGATTCGGTTTTCATCTCATCAATCATTGCAAAACGTCCACCATTCATGTATCTCTTCAATCTTGGGAAAAGAAAAAAGTTACATGGAACCAAATCTGGTAAATACGGTGGCTGAGGCATGATTATGGTGTTGCTTTTGGTAAAAAAACAAGCAATGACTAGTGCATAAGCGTGATTCAAAAGCCATTATAATTCCTTTTTACACAAATTGATGTAAATTATTTGATGCATTTTTTTCGATCGCAGAAAATCGCTGAACTCGCAAAACACTTAACTTTGTGCATTTCATTGATTCGGACTTCTATTGTCTAATATGATATAAATTGATTTGAAATCCGTGAAAGAATCTATGAAAAATTAAAAAGAATAGCTGGAAAATAACAATTATATTAAGCAAAAAAACTGAAATCACCTACTATGAAATAAAATGTAAGCAACAATCAAAAATCAAAAATATTGACTATTAACACGAGATGAAAATCAAAAATCATTAACAAGAAATGAAAATTAAAAATTAAAAGATTCCAAACCAAGTTACTTCACGACGTTTCGATTGTTAGTATCCACAATCGTCTTCGGGTGATAACTGGACTTATTCAATCGACAGCCGTCTTGGTTTCGAACAGGTTGCAGCCTGGCTCCCTTATCTTTACAACTGGCGTTTGTCAGAAGGACAAATAATTGGACTTATTCCTCCAAAATCTGATTATTTATAGATCATTCAAGTGTTTTCGCCTATCCCCTCTTTTCTGGAAGTCCGGACCAATGAAATGTACCACGAAACATTGTCAACCACCTTCAAACAAACTTCTAACTTTTATGCCTCTTACCAACAAACTAAACATGCTAAACAGCTGAAACGGTGAACATATGTTCTAGACGAGTTTACCAACATGGAGAATTTTTGGAACAGTCCACGTATATCGTATTCCTTTTTATTCTACTTTGTCCATATACATAACAAACCCTACCAAATACAAATAAAACAGAACACTGAGTCAGCTCAAAAACCAAAGACGGCTCAGGATGTGGAGTGCCCTCCACTAAGCCTAATGATTAAGTGGGGAATGGGAAAAAATACCAGCGTGGTCTAAACATAACTGGCTGGTATCTCAATTGTTCCAAAAGAAATAACCAGGAGAGGAATTTCTGGCAAAAACATAACAATCTGCACTGATAGCAGACAAACCTTATTAGCCTTGAACAGACAACGTGTTACCTCAGGGCTAGTACTAGAGTGCCACCAAGATTTAGACAAACCCTTGGTAGATAATAACATTATCCTGAGGTGGGTTGAAGGGCACGACAAGAGTAAAGGCAATCGCAATGTCGACTCTTTAGCCAAGGAAGCGGCTGGACTAAGAATTTTAGGACCTAGTGGCACTCACGGCCTGATGACTTCGACAATTGNAGTAAGTTTATATACTCCTGATCTATCCGACACTGAAGTTTTGTCTTTATTGTTTTTAATAAATTTGCTTAGACTATTATTTGTTTTGTAAGCTACGTTTACGCATTCTTTCTTGAAAAAACGGGCAATATTATTGGTTGGTTCACCCAAATATGACAATGCCTATACCTGACGTTATCGCATCTAAAATTTGGGTAGACCAGGTCCATGGCTTGCTTTTGTAGTTTTTTGGAAAGAATGGAGTCTATAGTATATACCTTATAACCGTTGTTGACCGCGATTTGTTTGATCAAACTCAGCTCTCTCTGGAAATTACTCTCAGGCAGTGGAATATTCAATAGTCTGTGAAGCATACTATCGAATGCAGCAACGTTATGCTGGCAAGGGTGTGTGGAAGAATTATGTATGATAATGTCGGTGTGCGATTGTTTGTGGAAAATTGCAAATTCATGTTTATTGTTATTTTTAGTAATGGTTTAGTCAAGGTAATTTATTGAATTATTTACCTCCTTCTCAGGTACTTGAAATGAAGGTACTTTCAAATTGTGGAATAAGGTATATTTAGCATTGAATATGTAGAATTAGTTAGTAAACACACGCCCGAAGAAGCCATTGTATGGCGAAACACGTGTAAAATCGTTTAGTGAAAATCTCACAATAAAGTGTTTTTTGAATACGTTAGTTATGAATTTTCATCAAGTGTCGGCCAATTACATCATATATGAATTGAACATAATGACATTGAAGTACAATGTTTAAAAGCAGTTCCACGTTCTATATCGTGAACAAGTTTCTCAACTATGTTTTGTAATATATGTTTTAATGATAGTTTTGTATATGCATAAGTAATTATGTTTTGTGTTCCCTCATAATTTTAACAATAGCGTATTGACGGATTTCCGTCATTTCTTGATCTTACGGAATCCAATAAAGTATCATTATTTTTCTTATTTCAACACCTACTTCAATTCTTCACTTCATTTATTATATCTATATAGATTTTTAACACCGTAACATGCAGTATTCAAAACAACTAATGTACAAAATTCTGATTACTTACAGTTAAATTATAGTTATGAAGTTAGAAAATAACTTACTTTGGTGGTGAAGATGATGAATCGGGTAACTGATGCCCACGATTTGTCATTCTTCTATTACGCTTCTTTAAAATCACTGCTGGAGCAATATTGACAATTTAATGTCGCACTGTACAATAAAAAAATTGCAAAACCACAGCACAATTAAACTTAAAACGATATTCTTACGCAATAATTAAAGTTGAACTGACATCAAATCCCTAGAGAATTATTTTATATACGTGCTCCCTGTAGAATTTTTCAAACAATATTCACCTTTATAAAGGCTTCCCAAAAGTTCAATTTACTTTCAAACAAGAATTGGTCAAATATTGTAGCTCTAAACGACAGAAGCTCTAAGGGTGCATTTGGTGCTGTGTATGTATTGATTGGGGAATGTTTTACCCCCGAATTTCGACCAATACGAATTCGTCTTTCGAATGTTTCCCTACATTCGCGCTGCTATTGGCTGCAGCTGTGGTTATAGAGGGTTGAATCCGGGAATACATTCTGATGAGATATGTTTGTTTGAAGTGGTTTTGGTTTTGACAGGTGGAAAATGAGCTATCATTTGCAGATATTCTGCAATTTATCGACTGGAGTTCGTTAACAAGAGAAAGGAAAGCGCTTTTCCCAAGAAATTTACTGAAATATTTTGTCATAATGTTTTTTTGCATTTTTTTATTATTAACATTGAATGAATTCGAGGCAAAATTTTCCCCAATCTCCTCTCATTGAACAATAATAAGACCTTTTGGCCTCAATTTGGCGTCAGACCCAAATTTTACATTTATATCCGTTGTCAATTTAAAACGATGACTCAACCTATATGTTTCGTGTTATCATATACTAATCGTAGAGAATAAATTTCACGTCTGTTGGAGGTCAATGTTTCAAAATTTGATTATTTATTTTATTTTTTCAGTCACCATTAGTTGTTGCCAACTTTCTATATGACACAAAGTCCAAAGTGGGGTTGAATTGATTTCCAATCCTTTTTTATCCAGCACTCCCGTCGAAAAACTTCACTCTCCACCAATTAGATATATTTCATAGGGATATTAACAAAATTCATGAACACATTGAATTCACTATTGAATTAGAAGCAGACAATTCAAAGTCAATCAATTTCTTGGACTTGACAATTAGTAGAATGAACAAGAAACATGATTTTTCAATTTATCACAAACCTTCCTGTTATATATTGGTATATTTGTCGAGTACCACTCTGTTTGGCGAATCAACCGTAATTATAAAAACATATTATTTTTATGGAAGAGCTCGACTTCGAGCCGATATGTGATTTTCTGGTGCCAGTTTGCAAAATAAAATCCTGTAGAATAAGAAACGTATGTGTTCCCTACCTTTCTGAAAAGAAGTCCTACGAAGAATTGTGCAAAATAACTGACCATTTGTCTTCTGTGAATTCCAAGTCATAACGTTTGAAGTTTTACACAACGTTTGAGATGGTCGATATCTGTACTTGATGTTGAAAAAACTTTATCCTTTATGTATCCCTAGACAAAAAAATCTAAAGGAGTAAGATCTGGTGATCGAGCTGGCCAGTTAATTGGTATATTGTTTCCAATCCATTTTTTTAGGGATATATTGCATCTAAAAGTTTCCTTACTATTGCTGCATTATGGGGAGGAACTCAGTAACCTAACTGGTCATCACTAGCCCAACTGGTCAAATTTTCAGCTTACCAAGCAATCAGCAATCTAGGACGGCTGTCTACGTTCCTAGGAAATACAGAACCTTTCCGATGGCACAATTTAGCACCTCAGACCTTACTGCGGTTAAAGTAGAATGTTCAGATGGAAGAGGCAAATATACGGCGACGGAAGTAAGAGTAGTATTTATACCCAAACCAGGTAGGATGGACTACACCATACCAAAAGCATTCCGACCAATTAGTCTTACATCGTTTTTCTTAAAAACTATGTAGAGGCTATGTGAGCGGTACATAAGAGATGAAGTACTAGTTCACAATCCACTTCATCCAAATCAGCATGCATATACTCTGGGAAGGTCTACTGATTCGGACATTCACCATGTGGTTGGCAGAATCGAGAGATCATTGGACAACAAAGAATCCACCCTGGGTATATTCATAGATATCGAGGGAGCATTTTATAAAACAACCTTTCCAACAATTACCCAGCAACTACACTCCAGGAATGTATCCTTGGTAGTAGGAGAATGGATACTCAAGACGCTCTCTAGTAGAGCAATAAGTATTAATGTAGATGATATCACAGTGAAAGAACTGGTCTTATCACCCTTTCTCTGGAACATAGTTCTGGATACCCTAATTNTTTTAACCACTGTGCAAATCGTTCTCTCCTTCCGTTATCCCTTTCATTGAGGTGATGAACTTTGCGTATCCTGTAGCATTTATATTTGTTCTTTTTCGAAATAGTTCTGGTGAATTTTACAGAAATCCCCGTTTCGTGGGAAATTTCTCGTAAAGAACAATCTTGGTTAGCATGATTTTTGTAACTGGCCAATCCTAAATAAAAAAAAGATGTTTTCACTGTGTAAATTTTTATGAGGTGATATTTGTTTACCCATAACATTTATTTGATTTCTCACACTTCCAGTAACCACACATTTTCTTGTTTTCTTTCTGTCTCTCAAATTTCTTTCTAATCGTCTAAACATTTGGATGTTCAGAATTAGACGATTTGGGTATATAGCTCAACATACATATTCCTTTCCAAAAGAGGATTTCTATTTGATTTTGCACAACTAAATAGCATCAGTCCATTTATCATTTGAATACATCTTTGATAAGTTCATAAAAGTCTGACAGTTCTCAACAGATATCAATAACGCATTCATTTTTCCTGCCATAGAAACCAAGAAAAGCCTACTCGTTTAAGATGGTAAATGAATTGAGATGCTGTTTGATCATACCAAATCACACAACAATCAAATTTTGACCAAAAACTGATATTTTAGTTCACTGAAAAAAACGAATTTCGGGAATTTCCGATTAAATTAATTCCTGTTGTTCAAACGCAACTATTGTTACCATAACAGAAAAAAACGTTCTGATAACAATCTGTATACTTGCAATCTAACAAGCCGATTCCGGTTAAAGTGATTTGAGTCTTATGAACAGGAAAAACGGTAATATAGCAATAATAAGGTACTTTTAATTAATCAGGAATATTTCCTGTGTATCTAGAATAATATTTTGCTATGTTTACAAGCTACGACTGTAAAACATACGTAGGTCAGAACCATACGTGCAACCGGAATAAAACACAGTGAATGTTACAGGAATATCTAGTGAAATATAATATTTTTGTGAATATAACGCAACACAATTTGTACGACTAACAGTATGGACACATTGAATTCAACAGGAATTTTTGGTTTCCTTAAATAAATTTAGATTATTCTACCTGAATAAATCTTGTTCAACTAACAGTATTTTAATACATGTAATATTATATTCCTGTTATCTCTACGATCCACGCCACTGTTCTAACAGCTCAGAACGTCGATTTTACCGGAATTCCCGTGAATCCCACAATTCAATACAGTACTCTGGGGCAGTACGCGCCTACGCGAACCATTGTTTTTTCAATAAACAAATCTAAACTTGAACATTCTGAATTTCATATATTTTATACCCGACCTATATTCAAAGTGCATACTCTGTGGCTATTGTACATAGTCTGTTTTAATATACCAGACGGCACCCCTAGAGGTAGCGAGTAATCGAAAATAATTTTAGTCTTTCAAAGAAGAGCGAACCATATAAACCTGTGAAGTACCTACTTTTCAATACTGATATTCAACGAATGTTTCTTTGATTCGTTGGAATTATGTTAAAATACTGTATAATAAATAAATGTAAAATTCTCCCAAATTCAAGAAACATATTCGCGAAGTCTCTCTTTGGGCAGAAGACAGAATGTGTTACAAAAAAATAGCACTTGAATACTAACAGGAAGTACCGTGAATTACAACAATGCTGCACGGTAGAACTAACTGGAAACTTCTAGTGAAATTCCATGGAAAAAAATGTCAACTACAGATGGAAATTACTGTCAAAAATACGCAGGTAATTAAATAGAAAATACAAGAATTTTCATTTAAATACTAGGTAACTACAGGAAATTCCTGTAAAAGCTCGGGTTGTGATCTTCGAATACAACTAACTAGTACTGTAATGTATAAAGGAAAGTTCTTTAATTCATGGGAAAATTCCTGTTGAATCGACACTACAGTTCCGGTATACGTAAAGTAATTCCTGTTTTAGTTAACGGTTAGCTACTGGAAATTCTTGTAAAAACTGAAGTCCGAAGCTTCGAATTCAACTGTCTAGTTTGTTTATTAAACAGGAAATGCCTGTTAAATCGAAATTACAGCTCCGGTAAAAGTAAGGCAGTTCATTAAAATAACTGGAAAATTCCAATTAAATCAGTGTAACGATTCTGTAAATAGTAAAGCATATTCCGGTTTTCGTTACATTATTATTTTCCTGTTAAAATAACAAACTGCAGTTTGGTTGCAGTTACTGGTCTAAAACTTGTAATTTCTAAAGGAATTAAAAGACCGGAATTGTCACGTACAATTAACAAATATTCCTGCTGTCGCTTATATAGGGTGAATTTCCTGTAGAATTCGCTGAATTCCTGTTGTATATCCTGGCATATTTTTTTAACACTTCCAGGATTGAGAGTTATAAAAATATTACGAATTATGATTGATTAGAGAGAAAAATGCCTTGAAAGAAGGATTACGGCAATACAAAAATTTCCAAAAAGAATAAGTACGAATTTTCATTGCTATTGTGTGTTAATTTATAAAACGTTAATTTCCATCTCAAAGCCAATCCACTAACGGTATATATTTTCTGAATCAAAATTATGCTTTAATGATAACATTGAAGCCGTTTTTGTATAGAACGGAAAATACTGCGGCGTCATACTTTGCGGTTGGAAAAAATGTATTTGATTCCATAAAACAGAATTATTATGAGTAATCAAGTTGCCTTGAAACTTTCTTGAAATACTATTTGTCAAGTATTCTCAAGCATATCATGATAATGTCATAAATTATTGTAATTGTCAACTACTATTCGAATATCCTTTTTGTGTACAAGTGGTATCTAATATTAAAATACTGAAAATATAAGAAAACTAGTAGCATCAATCAATATACAGGGCTATTCAAATTCGTTACTATACAT